GTAACTTTTACAGATGCACTACAGAAAGCACACTGACAGGCTGCATCACAGTGTGGTATGACAGTATGGTATGACTGCTGACCGCAAAGCCTTCAGCAGGTGGTGAAAATTGCCCAGTCCATCACTGTGGTTGCCCTCCCATCTATACAGGACATTTATGACAGACGGTCTAAGCATCATCAAAGACCCCAGACACCCCAGCAACAGACTGTATGATCCGCTACCATCTGGAAAACAGTACCGGAGCATTCGGGTCTGGACTACCAGACTCAGAAACAGTTTTTACCCCCGCACTATCAAACTATTAAACTCCCAGCCTCTCTCACTCTCACCTCACCTCTCACCTATGATCTGAACGTCACAGTGCCTTCTTTCTTACCAAAAACCCAAACATACATTGAAAATCTACCTCTATCATATGTGTCAAAAGATCACTCCCCATAATTTCTATCCCTTTATTTCATTATGTTGATGCATGTTTTTGCACATAACCTGTTACCTTTTTGTTGTTTTGCACATTGCCTGTTGTTGTTTTTTGCACATTGTCTGTTGTTGTTTTTGCAAATCGCCTGTTGTTGTTTTTCGCACACTGCCTGTTGTCTCTGTCTTTCTTTTGTTATACAATTGTATTGTTGTTGTTTTCTTTCTTTGTACTACTTATGTCCAAGAGCTACCTAAATAGCATTTCCTTATACCATATACAGTACCTGTACCTGATTTTCTTTAAAAAATGTTAAACAAATCTGCATCCCACTTTAACCTTTCCATAACTATAGTGGGGATGTGGCATATTTGGGGGCTTGTTCAAGATCTTTGACTTATATTGTTAATTTATATTGTTAAATATCTATTTATATTTTGTTCCTATGATTCACGTGTGCTGCACTTTGGGTCATTTTAATTTGAAGTGGTCCTTTGTATTACAGGTATTATGGTGCTGCAGTTTGTGTTATGGGTAATTGTGCTGGGCTTTGGAGCAGTCCAAAAAATGTCACAAGGCAGATAGCGAGTTTTAGCTTCTCGATTTACTGGGGATGTATCATATGTTAAACTAAGGAAGGCATACAACCCCCATGGCCCCTGAAAGACAAATGTGATAAAGGTGATAAAAAGGTGTTAAAACACAAACTCTAACAGAGCTGCTTGTGAGAGCAAGGTGACTTTCTGCTCAGTTACTGTACATAAGATCAAAAGTACAGTCAGATAGATTTTAAATTCTTTAAGCAACATTACGCGATTCCATATTATATTCCCTATAAATCAAATTCTAAAAGTATACTTTGTTTACTCGGATAATGAGCGTATTCGCAGAAAAGGTTAAAACATAACTTTTCAAAAAGTATATAAACTTAATATGTCAGGTGGGTGGCTGCGTCAGCATGTGTAGGCTTCAAAGAAATAGGTTTATTCCATGCTGAAAAGAGAAGAAAGAAAACCTCACACCCGAAGAAGGCTCCAAGGCCGAAATGTTGTGTTTTCTTTCTTCTCTTTTCAGCATGGATTAAACCTATTACATAATTATGCATACTACAGTGCTCACTCATTAGAGACAGAATCCCATAGTGTCATGTCCTATCAACTTTACCTAGTTGCTGAAACTATGCTAACGCAATCAATATAAATGGTTCTCTACAGTTCCCGGTGGCAATAACCAAGGTAAAGCACAACATTTTATGTATTCCCTACAGTGTCCATTGGTATTAACTATGATAAAAAAAACAGAATACCATGTCTTCAATATACAAATGACAAATGTGTGTGGTAAAGCACAGGTGATGTAATGTGTTACCTACACTGCCCAGCGTCTAAAATAAGGAATATAATGTCATGTGTTAACTATAGTGTCCATTGACTATGGTACAGCAAAATTGTCATAATATAAATATTAAATGAAATATGAAACCCAATGGAAAAATGATGAAGGATAGAAAATCATGGCTCACTGCATAGAGCATTAGTCACTGTACAGTGACTATAGCAAAGCAGAACACTATATATAAAGTTTTCATTTCAGTACACAGTAACTATGCTAAATAACACAATGTTATGTTTTCACTATGCTACCGAGTAACTACAGTACAGCACAGACTGATGTGTGTATTACGGTTCTTATTATCTTCGGTATAACACAAAATGTTTACTACAGCAAAACAGAATCCCAAGTACTGTAGGTATTATAATCACAAGCTGTTGTGTTCTGTACACATTACAATACTCAAGAACTAAGTGACTAAGGAAACACACAGGATGTTATATATTCCCAGTGGTAATAATTATGGTAAAAAACAGATGATCATGGGTTCTCTATGCTGTTCACTGGCAGGAACTATGGTAAAGTACACATGATATGTTTAAATAGTGTAAAATGAACATGATACAGCACAAAATGTCACATGTTCTATACAATGCCTATAATAATATAATAATAAATTAATAAAATGTATTATTAAAAATAATAAAATGTAAAAAATGTGTACATACGATCTACAATTTTATTTAAAAAGACAAGTATTTATTTGTTAAAATAAAAATGTATACCCTAAGGGGGAATCAAAGATTGACCTCTGGGTTGCCAAGAATGCACTAAATCCACTGTACCAAAGTACCACTTAAAAACACTGTTGAAACAGACAGATTAAAATGTTTCCAATGTAAGCACGAGTGGATGAGTCAAAGAAATTGATGCAGATCTTTACAAAGAAGTGGGTTACGGTTATTCTACTGTACTACTATGGTAATGATACTAATATGAATATTTAATATATATTATTAGCTTCTTTAGATATGCGATTCCATATTACACTCCCTATTACGTGGATTCTAAAAAGTATGTTTTTTACTGCAGTAACATATTCATATTCAAGTATTCATAGAAAAGGTTAAAACATTATAGCTTTTCATAAAGTATATTAACTTAATCAGAATAAGCACGCTACAACTATTCTAAAATAACTACAGTAAGTGACTGAAAAGTGACTATATAGTCAATATAGTACCAATAATATTTAGGTTTTTCAAAGAATGTTTATTTGTTAAAAGATAACTTATGGTGACAGCTGGATTTGAACACTCACCCTCAACCTTCTAAGTCAGTCTTAAGCCATCATGCCACAGACACAGTCACGTTGTGCTGCACTTTGGGTCATTTTAATTTGAAGTGGTCCTTTGTATTACAGGTATTATGGTGCTGCAGTTTGTGTTATGGGTAATTGTGCTGGGCTTTGGAGCAGTCCAAAAAATGTCACAAGGCAGATAGCGAGTTTTAGCTTCTCGATTTACTGGGGATGTATCATATGTTAAACTAAGGAAGGCATACAACCCCCATGGCCCC